GTGAGTAGCAAAAAAAGACAAAAAAAAAAAAAAAAAAAAAAAAAAAGAAAAAAAAAATAGAAAAAAATGAAAACAAACAAAAATCGATTATCAGATATTATATTTAGTCGAAAATTTATTAACAAAATTATCATATACGTATGACAATTTTCTAACGAAAATGAGAAGAAAAAAACTTGCATTTATTTATTTTTTTTATTTTTTTTTATTTTTTTTTTATGATATACGTTCTTTTTTATTTTTATTTTTATTTTTATTTTCCCTTTTCTTTCTTTTTTTGTTTTCTTATTTTTGTTTTTGTTTCGCTTTGTTTCGTTTCATTCTCACTTTTATGTCTGTACATTGGTAAACGATTAATGATACGTATGTAAATTGAAATTGTTAATACTATTAGAACGTATCCTCGGCCTTCTCCATTGATATCTCTTGGTATAAATAATCATAATATTATTGATCCCACTCAATTCGTAGGCGATACTTCAATTAAGCTTAGTAATTAGTTACAATATGAATATCCACAATTTTCAAACAATATCATTTATTCGTGTAGGTCGAATATTTGCGCTTATCAACCGTGAATCGTTCTTCTATCGTAGCACGTGCCGTGAAATTTCGCGCCAATATTTCAACCACAATCTACGTGTCAGTTGATAGATAGATACGTAAATACGTGGATACAATATCGTACATACGAAATCGTACGAACAAACTTTACTATTTTGATTTTAATACATCGTAAAACTTTTAATTGCCCTAAATTTATCGTAAAATTGTCGTTCCTCGAAAATTGTTTTAATTTTAAAATATAAAATTGTTTTAATTTTAGACGAAAAAGAAACCTTTCTCAGTTAATCTTTTTATAATTTTAATTATCGCTCAATAAATATATATCCATATAATCAAAAAGATTTATTATATCTACGTAAAATGATTTTACGAATTGATCTTCAATTTAATACAAAACTAATTTATAAAATTAAATAATATTAATCGAATTTATATTCATTTTCGGTTTCTTTTTTTTTTTTTTTAACTCACATCGACAAATTTATAATATTTTTAAAATAGAAGAAAATAAAAAAAAAAAGGAGTAAAATTAGAATACTAAATTCAAACAGACCGATAGAATTCGTTTCTAATTTGACAAAAGTTAGTTAAACTTTTAAAAGAAGATGGAAAAGAAGAGAAAGAGAAAAGAATATATATATATATATATATATATATATATATATATATATATATAGATAGATAGAGAGAGAAAGAGAGAGAGAGAGAGAGAGAGAGAGAGAATCGATTCGTTAAATTGATTTAGAAAATTTCGAACAAGAAGGTAACGACTCGGCTATAATCTTCTCGATAAACTTGTTAAATCAGAATATATTTCGTCTTAACAATTACGACGAAGACGAAGACGACGAAGATCATTAATTATCAAATAAAAATAGAAATGGAAGTACTTAAAATAAATCCAAAGTTGACAGAAGTATTAATATCGACAAATCGATTGACTCGACGAGTATTACGGTATTTTAATAGAAACACGTACAAAACAGTATTTATAGTTTTAATATATCTTATTTTTCGTCTGTCTGTCTGTCTGTCTATCTACACGTGTGTGTGTGTGTGTGTGTGTGTATGTGTGTGTGTGTGTGTGTGTATGTCTATGTGTGTGTGCATATCTCTTATGTATATTGTATTAGGTGTTATTAGGCTGGCTCTATTGTAAGACTGGACTACTTGTCATATATGATATTATACATATGTATAATACGATGATTATTGAATTATTATTTTTTTATCTCATTATTCTCTTCGGAATTCTTTTCTCGGATATGCCTACGCATATCTGATCATGAGATAAATAAAAAGGAGACGATTATGCAAGCTTAATTGCTTTCTTCATTTTTGCGATGACGACAAAAAAAAAGAAAATCAAGCCAAGCCGAGCCAGAGCTCGTTCGCTCGTAATAATTGCATTATGGAAAATTCAATCCTTATGATATTGTTATAAAAATCTAGCATCTGCTTACGCAATTACATTTATCATTTTCCTCCTTAGATCATTTTTTCTTTTCTTTTTATCTTTTCTTTATATTTTTTGTCCTTTTTCTTTTTTTTTTTTTTAATCTTCTCTCAAATAGCAATAGCAGCAACAATAACAACAGCAGTTTCATACATATATATATATATATATATATATATATATATTTTTTTTTTCTCTCTTTCTTTCTTTCTTTCTTTCTTACTTACTCCTTTCACATTTTTCATCATCCGCACTTTATATCTATTTATTTCTCACGATTATTTATTTTACTCGACGGTATATATCATTGTCGAGAAGAAAAAGAAAAAGAAAAAAATTAATAATCAGATTTTTCCTTGTATCTTGTATTTTTTCTTTTCTTCCTTTTATTTTTCTTTTTTTTTTTTTTTTTTTTTTAATTAAAAAGAATCTCTCACTGACGTTATTACTATCATGACCCAATTTTCAAAATATTATTCCTCTAAATGGTTATAATGATTTTGTGACGATTCGAGAATATATTTCGTCGAACGATATTCGAAATGACGATATGATCGATGATGACCACTTTTTATATGAGTTCTATATAAATTTCTGAAACTTGAAGATTTTAATTGATTATATATAATAAAGTAAAGATGTAGGTAAAACATATGAACTCTATGAAACCTCTATTACATCTTCTTCTCTCGTCACGCTTCCGAAACTTAGCAAATCTGATACCCGACAACTTTGCTCAACTCGACACATCCTCTCGATTGTTAACATATGTATATATATATGTATATATATATATATATATGTACGTATATATATGTGTGTATGTGTCTCGCCTCTCCTTTTCTCTTATCAGTATTATAAACGTGAAACCCCGACTTGACGATATTTCCCAGGAAAACGCGACAGTTTTGTCATTATTTTCTTCTCTACTTACGCGTATACTCGGACAAACATACGTATGCAACTGATGAAACATATGAATTTATCTCGAAAAAAAAAAAATCTCAGCACGTTATAACAATCATCAAATACGTTTACCTAATTCATATTGAATCATATTTTTTGTAGTTTAAAAAATTTATTAGGAATTTTCATATAAAAAAAAAAAAAAAAATAGAAAAAAAAAGAATGAATCAAGAATAAGTCAAACTAAATTGATAGGACTTTCAAAAAAAAAAAATGATAATAACAATAATAATAATAAAGAAACGAAAAAAAGAATAAGAGAAAGAAAAAATTGTTCTAGCTTTTTCTTTTCTGGCGAAGAGAAAAAGAAAAAAACTAGATCCTTTTGAATAAAGCACTATTGAATAATAATCGAAAATTTTCTTTTTGTTTGTCTGTGTTTCTCCGCGTGCTCGCGCGCCTACACGAACGAAACAAATATTTATCTCATCCGTCGCTACCTCGTATTGTGTTTTACGCTAACTTTTTGTTTTTTCTTCGTCTCCTTTTATAATAATAAATAAATTAATCGGATCTCGTTATCGTAGTACCAACGAGAAAACAAAGAAACATACAGGAAATATATATATATATATAAAACATATATATATATATTATATATATACATACGTGTTCGTTTGGAGGTAAAATTTTCGAATGAAATTGTTCAGTGGACTTTAAATTATGAAGGAAGAAGAATACGAGCGTGAATATTGTCGATTAAAGCATGGCACGAGAAGTAGACTAATTAATCGGAGTCATTTCATAGTTGGACATAAAGTTAATCTTTTTTTACTTTCGTAGCTTACGTTGAAAGACGAGAAGCAAGCAACCCTATACGATTCGTCTTCGTTAAGGACTACCGCAGGCATAATAGACAGCGTATATAGGGGGTGGTTGGAAAATCCTGACAATAATTTACGTGATACTTTTTTAAAAATTTTGATTTGTTTTTTTCCGTCTTCTCACGACATTTCTTTTTTCTAAAACGATATAGAAATGTTAAAATCGTTTCGCACCTATTCGAAACAAAATAATAAAAGTAATAATTCTCTTCGTGATTATGAAAATGATCCAACTATATATATTATATATATATTATATATATATATATATATATATATATATATGCAACATATTTTTTCACAACAAGGATGGAACAAGTGTTGTAAATATATTTTATTCTTAAAAAATTAATTATTTTATATGTAATTTTAATATTTTTAAGTATAACATTTTTTTAATATCACAGATCACTTTTATAATCATCCTTCATTACTTGGTCATTCAATAAAAATAAATGATTTAACGACTTCCACGCGTGAATTATTCGAGATGAATTAATTTTGTACGAATTGAACATTTTTATCGTATCTAATATTACATACAAGTATACATGGAATTGAACACCTATATAATCTACACGGTTTCAGGCATTGAAATCTCTGATGGTACAGACATGTCTATTAGTTTGTCGGCTAAAAAAAAATATATATTTCAATATATTATTTCTGCTATTTTTTTCTTTCCTTTTTTTCGAATCATTTATCGAATGAACAATCTTTTAAATGAAATCAGGAATAAAAATAGTAAGTACGTACCAATTTAATGAATTGGTACATATAATTTAGTACATAACGAATTATATTTAGATAGTCTGATTATATATAGACAGTCCAATCTACGAATACTCGAAAATAATCTATCTCGAAATATCTACGGAGGATCCTATTAAACGTTTGTTCATCTCTATTACGTGAATCGACGTCCTTTAATATATTTAATGTGGTATCGAAAAAGTTCCTAAATGGTTTTAAAAATTAATCACTCTTTTTTCCTTTTTTTTTTTTTTTCTTCAAATTACATAAAACAAAACCTACCTTATAATTTTACTACAAATAAATTTGAATTAAAAATCTTGAAATAAAAATCTCAATAGAGTAATTTATTCCAAAAAAAAAAAAGAAAAAAAAAAAGAAAAAAAAAACATCCTTTTTGCTCGCCCCATATCTAATGAAACAAAATTTCTACC